CTTAGAGCCTGATGGATATATACATACACTTCATTTTAATTTGTAGATATATATACATACTATTTGATGATATTGTAAATCATATGTTAAGAGATTAGCTCAAATTTTTGAGAGCTAATCCCAGTGTATGAGTTTCCATCTTTTTCGTGAAGCTCATTTTATAATTTCCATAGCACACTTGCATACATTTATCAGCAATTGATGTAATGTAAATTGTAATTGTTGTTACTACATTTATACAAGTGAAAAATCTTTTTTAAATATACAACTCTTGGTGTAAAACTCTTGTTGTTCTTTGTATTGTCCGAACAAAGTGTAATTTGAAGTATCCGTATTAGCTAGATAAGTGACAACTAATTTCAGAAAGTGAAGGTATACAACTATATACTACATATATACATTTATTACTCTGCATCATAACAAACATTGATTATGTACATAAAATTACACAAAAAAAAGAGCCCTTATTACCTTTAATTTTGAATGTTGTACTACTTGTTGTATCAAATAACCCAAAACCAAGAAAATATTGAGCCAATAGCTAAGCCGAGAATCAATAACACCACAACCAAAATCCCAGCTGTTTCAGAATGATGAGGCTGTACCATTTTGGGAGTCAAAATCAAGAGCACGCTCGCAAAGTATCCAGTAGTAAGCCCCAACAACGATGTCAAGCTTATTACAGGTATCTCAGTTCGGAAGAACTGAGGACCATGTAAACATCCCAAGTACAGTGGATAAAACAACAGTCGCGTGAAGCTTGCACCCAAGGCAATGTTTGCGTTGTCAAGAAGATAGACAGCAGTCAAAGATTTGCCAATCAAGTCGAAAACATTGAAACAAGTGATTAACAAAATCGCGTACCAATCCCCAAGAACTGTCGAATGCACGTCTTCAGTAACAGACCCTGGAAAAATCGACATAGTGACAGTATAGATGAGGGTGATCCCGAAACCATACCATCTGATTTTCTGTATGATTTCCCAAATGGGGGTAGACAAAGAAGATTCCTCCTGAATGAGTTTCAGCTCATTTTGAAGCTTCTTCTTGTGGTGTTTGATAACAGGAAGTCTACTTACCACATTGTATAAGGTAAAACACATTATCATAAACAAAATTGCGACGATGAAGTAAAGGATGGCACTGTTTCTTAATCCATCGTCGCTGCCTTGGGGATATACGGCTTTGGTAAAGATTCTCATGAACGAAACGAGGACACCTACAGTCAATAAAACATATGTATAAGACGACGTTAAAACTCCTACTCGAACTTCTACTGTAACATTTAAAGGAAAACCACAAAAAAAATGCTAGAGAGCATATGTTCTTTCCATCCACATAATTAGAGGCTATCTTTAGTTGGAAAAAATGCATTTTAATTTTTCTTTCCAGAAAAGCTTAATATTCCCATTTAAGTTCAAAGGCATAAAAAAAAAAAAAAATTCACATTTGCTACCACTAAAAACACCACGCTTCACATTTGCTACCTGTTAAATTATTTTTTTTTATTTTACTACCACCTAAAACAGAGTTTGTTAAAAATCACTACCACATGCCTTATTCTGTTACTATTTTCATTAGTGGGCTCACTCCACCGTTTAGCCACCCCTCCAACCACCTTGCAGCCACCCCTCCTCACTGCCACCCCTCACCTCCCCCCTCCCCCTGCCGGCGCCACCGCGCCAACCCACCCCCTCCCTTTCCTCCACCCTATGCGCATCCAATCCCCCCTTTCCCTTTCCCGTTCTTGAGCTCCGACCCCCACCCCGAACGAAAACCACTCCCTTTCCCCTTCCCTCCACCGGAAATCGGCCCCCCTCCCCTGATTCCCCCACCGAAATCGATCCCCTCCCCTTCCCCTACCCTTTTCAGCCGTCCCTAACCCTAAACCACCGCCCCAAAACCACCCTAAACGAATATTAGAGTTTCGGTTGTGGTGGTTTAGGGTCAGGGATGGCCGAAAAGGGTAGGGGAAGGGGAGGGGGGTCGATTTCGGTGGGGGAATCAGGGGAGGGGGCCGATTTCCGGTGGAGGGAAGGGGAAAGGGGGTTACGGTGGTGTTGGTATGGGTTTTGGGGGTTACGATGGCGGTGGTGGTCTGGGTATGGGGGTGTCGGCTTAGGATTGTCAATTTTGGGTTGGGAAAAGGGAGGGGGTGAGGTCGCCGGCCGCCGGAAGGGGGGAGGGTGGCAGATTAGGGGAGGGAGAGGGTGGCAGATTAGGGGAGAGGGTTGCTGTTTTTTTTTTTTAATTTTTTTTAAAATTTTTTAAAAATCTTTTTAATTTTTCTTTTTTTTTTTAGATAAACTTAACGGAAATCCTTACGGATTCCGTTAAGTGGTAGTGATTTTTAACAAAGTCTGATTTAGGTGGTAGCAAAGGAAAAAAAAAATTAAATAGGTAGCAAATCTGAAGCGAGGCGTTTTAGGTGGTAGCAAATGTGAAAATTTCCTAAAAAAAATTGCTCTAGATTAAATTCAAATAATTTCTCCCAATAATTAACATTTTTCTTTTGTAAGAATAGATTCCTTATTATGCCTCACCTTCCTCCTTGATCTTCTACTGCTCTCAACTTTCAGTTGTAAGGGATCAAATGGAGGAAAAAAAAAGTTTGAAAACTATTTTTTTTAGATTTGGGACTAGTTTATATCCTACATATTGTTAGACTTAAAATTAAGCTTGTAAAACATTATTATTAGATGCATCTAGGAGCTTCTAACATAGTGCGTTCACCAGTGTGTGCGCGACTTCGTGAAGGGTACGATAATGCCTGATGGAAGAACAGCATTTGTCAATAAACTCGTATATGTAGGCTGCTACATAGCCTAAATGCAATACCCTCTCTGTTTTTTTTTTTTTTTGTTCATTCTATTTGAAATCTTTTGTAAGGACATTAAAAAAAATAGTAAATAAAATAAACGTATGAAGAACAAAAAAAAAAACACAAACAAGCATCCATTCAAAAAGAAGAAAAAAAAAAAAAAGATAAGCGAGCATTAATTAGTGTATGGTGTAGAGCAACAAACTGACAAGTGACAACCTCTAATGATTTTTTAGGGCCTACAAATAGAATTGGTATGAGTGAGTATTATATCACAATTAAATCATTATAATATAACGACAAGATTTACATGAAAAGATAAGCAATCCACAATTCTGAATCACACAATACTTGAAAACTGAAAGCTGTCATTACCTGAGGCAGAAGTACCAGCAACAACAGCCTGCATGTAGCGGTCCGGCAACTCAGCAGCAGAACCAATAATACTACCCTGAACAAGCGCATTGGCGACACCGGAGAGGCCAACAACCCCAACAGTCACGTAAAATCCATCGTAGCGTCCACTTTGTCCCTTAATGTAAAACCAATCCATCAGAGGCACCACAAGGAGCGCTATTAAGAAGAGGCCCAAGCCGATGTTGATACGAACATAGGCATGGAACTTGCGGAAGCAGAAGATGATGAGGAGGAGACAGAGAAGAGACACAGACTGGTAAACTACAGCAAATATTCGATCAATGCTACGATCAGGGTAGAGGTAGTTGAAGTAGTCTACGGCTGTGATGAAGGCGTTCCAAGGGAGTAGCATACCTGTTCCTAGTATGAAGTAGATTATATAGGCTAAATTGAAGGAGTCATGATTGGTTATGACATCGTTGCCATTGTTTGTAGGTGTGGTGTGGTGGAGAAGAGAGACATTAGCTTCTTCTTTGGCTTCCATCTTTTCAATTAGCTTTGAGTTTTTGAGTCACAAATAAATGTGTGTTAAGATATTTAAAAATCCAACTTAATAAATTTATTTATTTAGTTTTTTGAGGTAGGTAAGGAGAAGGTCCAATTAGGCTGAAACTTCTCACAGGTCTACCCAGCCTAAGTTAGCGAACAAGGCCCTTTAAATTGCGGTAGGAAATCTTAAAAAGAGTATCAGTATGTATTATTCAGCTACATAAAGAGTTTTGGTAGTGTTTCTCTCTGGGGTTATGGATAAGTCTCACATAAATTTCTCAAGTTGATAAATTTAACAAAATGCCCTGTTATTAAGTATTGTACGGAATATTGTCTAAGGTTCACTTTTAGTATCTTACATAATCACTATCTCTAGCAAATAAACAAACTACTCCGTAGTATTTAAATAGCTAATCTCACAATTAACAAAAAGAGTTAAGTCATTACCGTACCCCACTTCCTGGGGCTGTATGGTAAAGATGAGAAGCTTGGAGCACTATATATTCTGATCCATAAGGTGTTCACGAGGGAGTCACTGGGTGTAGTGTTGAAACCTTGCGAGCCATGGTACTGGCATTAGCTGCTGAGGACAGCTTGTCAGTGTGCTCAAGTTATTAAAATGTAACAAGCCATGGCACTCGCATTAGCTGCTGAGGACAGCTTGTCAGTGTGCTCAAGTCATCAAAATGTAACAAGCCATGGCACTCGAATTAGCTGTTGAGGACAGCTTATCAGTGTGCTCGAGTCATCAAAATGTAACAAATCATGCATGCCAGCTACAATGTTATAGGCCAAACACTCCAGAACTCGCGAGTAGCTTTCTAGAATGGATGTTCTGAAATCCTGTCATGGTAAAAAAAATACAATTTTAGTTAATGAACTAATAGCAAAAAAATTCAATGCAAAATGCAAAATGCACAAGGAGTACAAAATCTTACTAGAGTGTGGCTGTTTCACTCCCAAGACATATTTGTAATAAGTAGTTCAGAACAAACTGTTCCTAACAAAGTCGAAATTCTATCACATAGTAATTGTAAATTATAATCCATATAGAAGAAAAAACGATCAAAACTTCAAAAGAGATCTAAGACATTTGAAATTACAATTTCTAATAATGAGAGGCTTTTAAACTGAAAGTTAACATGTAAAAAAACATCTCACAAAATTTTTACAAATTACTCATAATTCTTTCATCCTGCATTTCTCATCAGAAATCAGGCATGATATCAAACTTCCAGAGAAAATGTACTACAGTTGGTTGTACCAAATTCAGGGCAAGGCTTCACAACTTTTCAGGTCAGATGACCCAAAACCAAGACACAATTGAGCCAACTGCCAAGCCAACTATTAAGAACAGAGCAATCAAAATCCCTGCTGTTTCTGCATTCCGAAGTTGGACTGATTTGGGAACCAAAATCATAATGCAACTTGTAAAATAACCGTTGGTTAACCCCAAAAGAAAAGTCAGCAGTGTCACAGGAATCTCTGTTCGGAAGACTTGAGGACCATATAAGCACCCCAAATACAGCGGATAAAACAACAGCCTAGCAAAACATGCAGCAATGGCAACATTGCCATTTTGTACTGGATATACAGCAGTCATAGACTTGCCGACCAAATCAAACACATTGAAGCTGGTGATGAGGAGAATGCCAAACCAATTTCCAAGGAACTCAGAATGTACATTTTCAGTAATGAATCCTGGAAATACAGATAGGGTGACAACATACATGACGACAATACTAATTCCATACCATTTGATTTTTACCATTATTTCCCAAACTGGACCAGATAGAGAACCTTCCTGACCGTGTTTCTCCTCGCTTGCAGCAGCCTGTGCTCTGAGCTCATTGTAGTACTTGATAACAGGAAGTCTACGCACCATGTTATACAAGATGATACAGATGATCATAAGGATGATTCCAACGGCAAAGTACAGGATTGCACTACTCCTCAAGCCGTGGGTATCTTGTGGGTAAATGGCTTTAGTAAAGATCCTTAGAGATGAAACAAGTAAACCTAAAGAGATATATGCAAATTTATACCAATTAAAGTCAAATGATACCCGTTTCCAATTTAAACCTTATAAGCACCTGCCACCACCAACATGAAAAAGAACCAAAACTGAGCAACAAAAATAAAGAAGCCAAAGTTACCTGAGGCACCAGTACCAGAAAAAAGAGCCTGCATATAGCGGTCTGGCAACTCTCCAGCAGACCCAATAAGGCTAGCTTGGACAAAGCCATTAGCCATGGCGGAGAGGCCAACAGCCCCAACAGTGATATAATACCCAATATACAGCCCACTTTGGCCCATAATATAGAAAACATCCATAAGAGGAACCACCAAGAGGGCCAGCAAGAAAAGTCCCAAGCCCAAATTGACGCGGACATAGGCATGGGACTTTCGGAAACAGAAGATGATGAGGAGGACATTGAAGAGCATCACCAGCTGAGAAACTACAGAAAAGGTTCGGTCAACACTACGGTCAGGATATAGATACTGGAAGTAATCGACAGCCGTGATGAAGGCGTTCCATGGAAGAAGGTAACCTATTCCTAGGATGAAGTAGATAATGTATGCCAAGTTAAAAGAGTCTTTTGGGATCTTCTTGTTGGTGATCTCTGAGTCTCCGGAGAGATGGAGAAGAGATACTGTGGTTTCATTACCTGCCATTTTCTTGACAATATACAAAAAAATACTTGGACTCAATGATTTTATAAGAATGGAAATATTAAGGGGTGCAGATCTATTGAAAAGAATGAACCAAAATAAAAACAGAAAAATGGAATAACGTTTACTTAAGATTTGGTCATAGAAAATATACATATTTTTTAATGGACTGATTTAGAAACTAGTGATGCAAGGAGGTGACGGCAAAGAATTATCTTTAAATATTTAAATGAACCAATTATTGGTGGTTTGGACTCCTTTGGAGGGGCAACTACAAGAAAACTAAAAATTTAGTCCTTCAATTTCGGAGTATAGATTATGCTAATGTATATTTATTGTAATTCATAGTAAATTTTTTTCATATGAGCACAACACCGTGAGAAGGGGTTACCTTCTAGGAACAGATTACCTTCTCCCATGGGACGCCTTCTTGGCTTCATCACGTCTGTCGATTACTTTCAGAATCACTTGGTGAAGTATTATCTGACAAAAGAGGAGACTGGGAATAACATTATGTCAAGAACAGGGAAAAAGAGATTTGAACCTTGTTACTTTGATCTTAATAATTAGAATATCAGCAGGTTAATGAGTTTTAATCCGAGATGTGCAGCAGGTTATCGAAAACAAAAACCAGAACAAATTGCTATCAGATCAAACCATCCAAAACTAAGGCACTGTTTAACCAGTGGGGAAACAAACAAATTAGAAAGCCATAATCAAAATACCTGCAGTTTCTTGGTATTGATGTTGGATGGTTTCAGCAGTCAAAACCAAGACAGACGAGTACGATACGTATTCAATTCAGCACCATCACATGAATCTCAAGAGTTATTTGAGTTGGCACTTACATTGTCCAGACCGTTAACAGTAATTGAGCCAAACATGCAATTAAGATGACAACCTTGGATCACCTTTTAGGCATAAAGTATGTGCGTTTTTTTTTTTTGTTTACAATCATCTCTTATGGAGCTAGATACATTAAATTCTTCATATTTAATTAGCCAAGTGAGCCATTTCAGAACAAGAAAATATGAAGGTTCTAGTTCTACTATACTAACAACAATAGGGATTAAACAGTGAGCCAGTGAGGACGGGCAACTATACAAGAACATAATTTTCATAATATGCAGAACTGAATAAAAGTTACAATTTTAAGAATGTAAAGAAATATATCTTACAGAGCTTTACAAATTGAACAATTACATCCCTGAGTTACCCCATCGTGATGAGATCAGGCATGAAATAAGCTAGGATCATTCGCCCCCTCCATTTCCAACTGCACAAGGGTTGACGATGGATCTCTAAATTTTAATTTAAGCTGACACATACCAGCAGATTACATAGCATCAGGTAAAACAAAATGCTATTGGATCAGATGACCCAAAACCAAGAAACAATTGAGCCAGAAGCCAAGCCAACTATTAAGAACAGCACGACCAAAGTCCCTGCTGTTTCTGAGTGATGAAGTTGGACAGTTTTGGGAGCCAAAATCATCAGAACACTAGTAAGATAGCCATTTGTCAGTCCCAACAGACATGTCAGCACTGTCACAGGAATCTCAGTTCTAAAAAATTGAGGACCATGCAAGCATCCCAAAAAGAGAGGATAAAACAGCAACCGAGCAAAACACGCACCAATGGCAGCATTTTCATTTTCAAGGAGATAGAAAGAAGTAGTCGCCTTGCCCACCAAATCAAAAACATTGTAGGCAGTGATGAGGAGAATTGGGTACCAATCCCCAAGAAGTGTTGAATGGACATCTTCAGTAATGAAGCCTGGAAATATGGAAAGAGTAACAACATATATGACTATAATCCCAATTCCATGCCATTTGATTCTTCCCATAATTTCCCAAACAGGACCAGACAAAGAATCCTTCTCTTTGTTTGCCTCATTTACAGCCTGCAACTTAAGCTCATTGTAGTATTTGATCACTGGAAGTCTATGTGCCACATTATAAAAGACGACACAGATGATCATAAGTACAATCCCGAAAATGAAGTATAAGATTGCACTGTCCCTCAAACCATCGATATCTTGTGGATATACTGCTTTTGTAAAGATTCTAATAAAAGAAACAAGAACACCTGCAGTTAATAAGAAAATGCAACTTAGTTCAGCAATCATTCAGAAAAGAGAGCACAGGTGAATTTAATATGAGCATAGACTTCCACTACAATGCCCATTTTTGGAAAGCATGCAATGTATTAAGTTGATTTATGTCTTAAATCTGATTAAGTAGTCCACTAGTCCAGCACTGGGGAACTTTTGTCACCATCAAAAGACGAATGCTAAATCCTAGTTGCAACTCATGTCGATGCTATTTCTAAAGGATTTCTACAGAATTCAAGCTTAGCTTTCCTAATTAATTACTTAAATCCATCAATGTAGCTTGTCAGCCATGTGCCTTGCGGCTATGCCTCCCCTTCCCATTTCTTAAAAGTTGATAAACCATCAAATCACTCATAGTCGATCCAATTCCGCTCGCTCGTGACGCCAATGCACAAACAATGTTTATAGCCTATGGAGCCAAAATATAATTTTAAAGATAAAATTAAATATTTTTAGTTTTTTACCTTAAAACATGAATACATGATATTAACATGCTGATCATACATTTTAGGCCTAACGACAAACAACTAAATAACTTTATAACCATCTAAAGCAACATCTAGCAATCACCACCATTTCAATTGATCATTTGCTTCACACTGCAAAAACCATTGCTCCTTATAAACAAACTCAGCTAAATTCCAAGATAGAGGCATTGAGCATGGGAACAAAATTCAGCACCAGCATTTCTTAACCTCATCTATATGCTTCTTCCAAAGTAAAGCTTCCAATTACTTTGACAACATAAATCCAATCAAATTCTAGGACCCAACCCTAAATTGGCAACAAGTATCATACTAAACTAGCAGACAAATTTCTTAACAAAACAATCCACACAGCTGAAAATCCACATAAAATCTATACCTGGAAAGGTAAGTTAATTAACCATTTCCAATCTCATCCCTCAAAACATCACAACTTCACGAGTCAATCAAACTCAATTCATTTCCAATTTCATCTCTCAAAACTTATACCCAATTCCAATTTCATCCTTCAAACTAAGAAACATTTCCAATTTCATCCATCAAAGTCAAACCTAATACAAATCATCAATACATTGAGACTATACTCCAAACCAAAAAGTTCTCAATTCTCAGCAAATCCACCAAGAAAATGATCAAAATTAACCGCATTAAACAAAAGAGAAGTTATTCATGAAAAAAACAAAATCCCATTTCCAAATTCATCTCTCAAAACTTATACCCAATTCAATTTCATCCTTCAAACTTGGAAACATTTCCAATTTCATCCATCCAAGTCAAATCATCGATATATTGAGACTATACTCCAAACCAAAAAGTTCTCAATTCTCAACAAATCCACCAATAAAATGATCAAATTAAACAAAAATGAAGTAATAATTCATAAAACAAACAAAATCCCATTTCCAAATTGATCCCCAAATCATCAAAACACCCAAAAAAATTAAAACTTTAAGCACCCCAAAAAAACATAAAAGTCAATAAAAAAAACACAAACCTGAAGCAGCAGTTCCAGCAACAACAGCCTGCATATATCTCTCCGGCAACTCACCGGCAGACCCAATAAGCCCACCTTGGACCAAAGCATCAGCCAAGCCCGCTAAGCACAAAACACCAACAGTCACATAAAACCCATCATAAAGCCCACTTCGGCCCTTAATATAGAACACATCCATCAATGGCACCACAAACAGGGCCACAACAAAGAGGCCCAAGCCCATATTGATCCGTACAAATGCATCAGATTTCCTCAAAGAGAAGATGATGACTAGGAGAGAGAAAAGTCCTGTAAGCATGTAAGCAACGGCGAAGATGCGGTCAACGCTCTGATCAGGGTAGAGGTAGTCAAAGTAATCAACGGCTGTGATGAAGGCATTCCATGGGAGTAAAAACCCAGTTCCGAGAGTAAAGTAGATGATGTATGCGAAGTGAAAGGAGTCTTTTGGGATGTTTTTGGGGGCTTCTTCGCCGGAGTTGGGGTGGTGGAGGAGAGAGATTGCGGCATCGTCGACGGCGGTGTTAACGGCGACTCCCATTGTTTGGCGCACAGAAGAAAGAGACGGATTGGTGGGTTGGTTGCTTGTAAAGTTGTAATTGGGGAGAAAAATGTGAGAAGAAGATTTGGAGTATACCGTATATACGTAGTCTTTTGTTTGGTGGGGAGAATGGTACTGGGGTTGCCCAATTGGATTTTTAATTCGACTCGGGTGCACAATTCTCATTAGGCTGTCCATAATTCGGATTAAAATCAAAATCCAAACCAAATTATCAATTCGGATCGGATTTGAACTTTAAATCGGATTGGATCGGATTGAGATTTTTTTAAAATTCGGATTTTCGAATTGGATCGGATTTACCCTAATTGGATCCAAGCCAAACCGAAAATCGAATTGTAAAATTAAGCATCTACTAATATGCTGACTTATTGATTAATTAAGGTGTTGCCACCGAACGCTAATATTTGGTGATGCCATGTAGTTAGCTGTTGATATTATGTGCACAGTGTTGTTGTAATGGTGATGTCTTGTAGTTGTTCTAGCTAAGTAATAATTAATATTGACTTTTTTTTTTTTTGAGGCAAAGGAGAGGGAACCTTTATTAAGAAGTAGACAAATTGTCCATTAGTACATACGGTGTTACATCTCTAGGACAATGATTAATCCAGACTTGCTCGTCATCGAAAGGCACCAATTTTGCTAAATGGTGCGCTACAAAGTTCCCACTACGCTATACATGAGACCAAAAAACGGAAGAGAAAAAAGAACAAACATCTAAGATATCTTCTAAGATAGAATCTAGATCAGAGAGAAAAAAGGTAGCATTAGAGAGGCGAGAAATGATATTCATGCAGTCAGACTCAAGGATGATGTCTTTGTACCCATACCTGCGCACGAGACGGGCAGCGAAGAGTAAGGCTTTACCTTCAGCAATCTCGGGTGGCCATCTACACTTAGTTCTCCTAACTCCAGCAAAAAGAACCTCACCCTTATAGTCGCGAGCAACAGTCCCTGTGCTAACCCAACCTTCAACACAGAGGATGCATCACAGTTAATCTTGACTTGATGATGAATAATTACACTATTTCAAGACTTGTATTAATTTTAAGACTTGGACTACATATATATATATATATCGTATTGGATGCTAAAAA